CCTCATGTCCCCCACCTCCACGGGCTTGAGATTCGAACACTGCGAATGCATGTCGACTCTGAGCCAGGTGCCGAAACGATTCAGACAGAACCGCAGCTTCCCAACGGGATAAGATCTACCACACCTAACATAGATCCTGGACCGAAGTCCCCACTAACAAATGGATTCGTAACCCCGAATGGTCATCCTCATTCATGAAATCTATCAACTCTCTCGTTTCAATCTTCTTCCCCTCGTGTCTCTTTGCTCCCTCTCGGCGCTTGGTTTGTCATTCGATGCTAGAGCCATTCGTGGGATATAAGCAGGATTTACATCCTTTTAACTTTTTTTCTTTTTTGTTTTTTTGTAAGGTGCAAATGGGATTTAGGTTGGATTGGGAGGTTTTTCTGTATTATTTTTATGCAATTTGATGGATTCATTCGACTTCTTTTTATTCTTGAAATGGAATGAATGCTTCCATAATGATTGCTTGTGACAGTGTCATTATTACTTTATACCTCCTATGTTCGCAATCGTCCACTAATTCCTATTCATTCATATGTTTTTTCACAGTTGTAAAGTCTAATGTTATGCTTTGCTCCTCGGGAGTAAAATTTGCTTATGTAATAACGTAGGGCACACCAAAATAGGCGAGGCTCGAATTTTGGTATTTTCCACGACGCCGCCAAAGGAGAACATCCACCACGCCAACTCTCAATATCAACCTCGATAAAAACCCCTGTTTCCTACACTCACCTCTTTGAGGATAATCCGACATTTGGAAACGATCCCATCGATATTCCTACGTCAACAATGGTATATATAACTCCCTTTCGCTCTGTCTACAATTGATCCCCATTCTTCCTCACTCTGCCCAGGCAGATAATTGTGCTGAAGTGCTCCCAATTGAGCCCCAGCACCTCCCAGATCAGTCATAGAATGAAATCGAAACCTGCTGATACATGGTAATCAAACAGTCGGACGGAGAAGAGACCGCTTCCAACCCGCCTGTCGGTGCCGCCGATGAGGTCGAGGTTTCCGCCGACACCACTGCTGGCAGCTCCATGTCCGTTCTAGACGCTCTCAAGGGCGTTCTCAAGATAGCTCTGATCCACGACGGCCTTGCCCGTGGTTTGCGCGAAGCCTCCAAGGCTCTCGATCGCCGCCAAGCGCACATGTGCGTGCTCAACGAGGGCTGCGAGGAAGACGCTTATAAGAAGCTCGTCATTGCGCTTTGCTCAGAGCACAAGATCCCCCTCATCAAGGTTCCCGATGGGAAGATGCTGGGCGAGTGGGTTGGACTCTGTATGTTTTCTTTTCTTTGATTTTTTTTGATTTTTTTTGATTTTTTTTTTTTTTTTTGGACTCTGTTTGGTGAGCCGGACCACTGATTTGCTGTGTTTCCTCCCCCGCTCTTTCTTGCATTTGACAGGCGTTCTTGACCGCGAAGGCAACCCCCGCAAGGTTGTTAACTGCTCGTGCGTTGTCCTCCGTGACTGGGGTGAAGAGTCCCAGGAGCGCTCCGTCCTACTCAACTACTTCCAGACCGAGCAATAGTCCAGTCAAAACGAACGCGGCAACTGGGGTTAAAACGGATGGATATGCGGGCAAATGAAAAAAAGTACATAAAATAAATCAGTGTATAAGTGCGCCTTACGAGTGGGTGGGAGTGCTTATTTGGAACAAGCTGGCTTCAAACTCGTAATCGAGAGCGAACTTAGATAAAACTTTTCAGGGCCGTAGGTCCTCCTTTTTCACAGCACTAATTAAAATTAACCCGCTTTATACATCACTTGGTATACCTGTTTGTTATCCCTTTTTTTTATTCTATGGCCATTAATGTTGATTTCTAATGTTAGCAACCTCGTAAGATAGATATCAGTCGCAAGTGAGGATCACATCATACACAGGTTATCTTTCATTAATTCGTTCAATTAATTCAAAGGGCGAAACTAAGCCCAACAAGATCGACATCTTGGCTTAGAGAGCCCATTGTAAATCTATCTTTCATCCCAGGTGTTCAATTAGGCACAAGATGAAAAAACATACACTCAATGACGGGGCTAACGAATGTCGCTTCCAGTAAATGTAGTGTAGAAGTAGTAGGAGGCATCTTATCGTTCCAATGACTAATAGATAAAACACAAGCACGGAAGATAACGAACGAAAATAAACAACAGGCAGTAAGTGCATAGTGATGAGATAGGTTGATCAAACAAGGGGTTGACGGCATCTGATATTTCAGTCAAAAGTTCGACATGGATGAGACTAGAAATGTAAGTCATGGCAAAAACGATTCAAAAAATGATATGGCATTCTTCACTTCCGTTGCGATTTCTAGCATTCGTCCGTGCAAAGAGATAATCATATAATGAAAAAATAAAAATAAAAAGGGAACCTGTCCTGGTTACGTTATTGGTGGTAGAATCCATCCCCATACACTCCAGTTGCGGGGACGAGATTAACGTGAAGTATACAAAAGCCAAAGCAAGAAACTGGGGATATAATTACATCATATACCTAGCCATCAAAGCGCAGGGCTAAAAGCTCACTAGAGTTCGGATTCAAGTAATTTCAGAGCAATAGAAAATGATATTTGGATTGTGGCAGTATTTATCCAGTTGGTTGATCAAAACAAAGTGATCAGAGAATAGTCAAGCAGTCGATCAATCAGATGAACTTAGCGGAAATTATATGCGGGAAAAACCATCTTCTCTCGCATATGTGGCGTTAGAGAGAGGTGTTGATATGGTGAACTGCCCGGGTCATAATACATGCCCTCGATATGGCCGTCCCCGCGACGAACGGAGATATAATAGAAACCGGATATTGTGAGTCCTTGACGGGAGTGTGATGGCGTAATAAAGCAACGTTCTAGCGGCGTAAGTGGGTTTAAGGATACTATTCGAATATTGAGAAGGGCATGAACGGGCTCAAGACTAACCTTTCCAACGCATCAAGATCCAACCTTTCGCTAGCTGCTCCGTCAGCCATTTCTTACTCACAAGATTCCTCACGATCTCATCATAAGACAGGTCTTTAAAAGGTTCAAGCTCGCGCCAGTACAAACTGTCAATCTCTGCATTTGCTTTGAAATTCTTCGTCTCCAGCGAGTGCGTGTTGAAATCGATGATTTCACCCTCGAGGAAAGTAGTAATATGCGCTCCTTGGCTATTGGGTGTTTTATCGGGAATGTTGTAGGCTTCCATCGTTCCGGAAAGCGTCATCGTATTATAATCAACACTGTGTATCGTAACCTTGACAGGCCAGTGTTCATGTCTACTGTTGCTGTTCATTCCCATTTGGGTCCCGTCTCCAAACTCGTGAGAAATATCCGCCTGGTAACTGCGGCGGCCGGCGCTTGTATATACAGTCCGGCCGAGTTCAGTTCCATTGATAACGATGGGGTCATCAAGTTGGTGCGATCTGGGTCTCCGGTTATGGAACATCGCTGAAGTAGAACAATGATTAGTAGCACGTTGTGAACCTTCAAATACCGTCCCTGGCTTTAGCCACGAAGAATCTGCAGGACTGCCGATCGACGACGTATCGAGGATAAAGTCGTCCTCATTGCGGCGCAAATATTCGTATTGGACGAAATCTCCTGCAGTGGCAAACTGTACGCTCTCATCGTACGATTTGGCGAACCGCACTCTGTCAAGATACCTTATGGTTTCTTCAAAACGATCAACTGACGATCGATCTTCGAAATACATATCTCGGGGCTCTGATGCACCGGTATTCCTCATTATATCTCCGTGATTGATGGTGGAAGAACGTGGAGGTGGGGAAGTGGTTGAGCTTGCAGTCGTAGTGGGAGTTGTAGAGGAAGGTTGCCAGTCTCTTTCCTCTGATTCACGGCCACCTCGGTCCCGGTCAAGGATGTAGCTCTGTAGGGTACGGGTCCTGGAGGAGAATCGCGGGTGGCGACGAACTGTTTGAAGTAATGTAGCAGTAGCCAGATCACTCCGACCATACCGTGACGGCTGAATCGATTCTCCATTGGGATCCGTGGCCCATAGACGGGGTGATGTAGCTGATCCTTCCCGCCTTTCACCCCGAGATCCCAGTGCCGTATGTCTCGCTCTTAGCAATCTACCATCCCACATTTCCTGAATAAGATTCGTAGCACCCACGCTAGCATCTTCTTCCTCTTCGTAATCTGATCCTGGCACCCATGTGTAGGCGGGATTTGATGGGCGGAAGCGAGTTTCGTAGTTGGTCACACCACTCATTGGATCTCGGCGACGAACAATGGGGATACGGCGGCTTACCCCGACAGTCACTGAGGGCCTTCGCTGATCATTAGAATCCATACCGCTATTCACTTCATCCTGCAAGGACTGTAGATGCCGCCTTCGACTTCGAACACGTCCCGGGGATGAATCCGGAGAGGAACGTCTGCGCGAGCGCAAAAACCTTATGTTATCGGCATTCACTTCGTCTTCTGGTAGACTCATGAAGACGGCTGTGAGGTCGGGCACGCTTATAGAGAGGAGCTCGAGCCGTTGGAGATACCGTTGGAGATACCGTACGGAGGAGGATAAAGATAAGAGGGATGGGGGGATTCAAAGAATGTTGGTCCTTTCGTGATGGCCAGAGATATCGGTTAGTTAACAAGGCGGGTAGGTTGTCAGGCTCGTCGGCTATGCTCTATTTCTTGGCAGATTTTGTTTCGATATTCACGGATGTCAGAATATCGCATCACAACAGGTAGAAAAGTCGAGAGTCGGGACAAGGATGGATGATGAGCGAGGGGGTTTGCCCATGGAGGAGAAGAAGAAGACGAGGTGCGGCGGGTAGCGTCCCTCGACTGTATAATAGTTCGCTCTTTCATAAATACAACCGCAAGCAAGTCAACCCAACCAACCCTCGATCCAAATATCAACTTCTCCTCCACTCCCTCCACTCCCTCCCCCTCCCTCCCCACGAATACGGTGCGGACCGCAGCGAAGAAGGGGAACAGCCACGGGAACTGTAAGCAACGCGTCCATCTCAGATCCCTAGAATTCCGCTCAGGTAGACTGATCCAGCGCACAGGTAAAGGGCCATTCCATCGTCATCGTCGTGGTCATCGCAGCCATCATCGTCGTCCTGCTCGCCTTCCTGCCATTGACATTCCCCGCATCGTGTTGTGATACTGAAACTCCCCTGTCAAATGACTTTGCAATTGGTCCTCTCTTCACTCGGACAGCTTGCTGAATCGATTACCCCGAATTAAACGACATTGTGTGCTATGTTCCTATAGCCACAGGCTCATCGAAGATTATCCATTCAATTCCCCCTGACATCAAGATGAAAACTTCATTTAGCTAAATAACTAGAAAATAACCTGGTTCCAGAACCTTGGGACCAAGCTTCATGCTGACCTAGTATCCATTCTCCCATATACCAACGGTGTGGCGACTCCCAGTGAAATTAACTCTCGCATCAACGGAAACACCCCTAGGAACTCCACAGGAGAGTACATGATACAACATCGTTCTTAACCCCGATGGTCAGTACTCTCATGCGGTATATATTATTCCGTTCTGAATTGTCCCAAATGGCCCTCAGCAATGATACTCCATGTTCATGGGGATTCTCTCAAACATGACCGCCGGAGGTATTTTTTTTTTCATGGAAGAAACGGGCCTCTTGGACTACGTACGGATGGGCAATGAATTACAACCGCAATGCGATGGAGCCGTGATCATATCTTGAGTTCAGGAACTGCAGCGGTGTTCACGGTCACTGCTTGCTTGAAGAATCCGAAGTGAACTCTCATATCTATATCTCCGATTTTGCAATTTCCGAAGTTGTCCGCCCTCAATTCTACATACTAGTAGTTATTGTTTAGAGATCACAGATGAGACTATTCTAACCAAGCTGGCCAAGTAGATGATGAGGATGGGTACTGTCATTCCTGAATCTCGCTTTGGAATTGGCGTTATGCTCGCTGCCAACCACTCGTCGTGATCCTGGTTCACTTTTGGGCCCATGGTCCGTTATTAGCCTAACTCTTACCACCCTTGGAATGCATCAACCGCTCCCCTCCCCAGAAACCTCTACCGGGAAGTGGATAATCAACCGTTTAAATAGATACACCGATCGCGGCTCAATGTAGTGTTGGATGACTTACCCAGTTACCCATACCGAGACTACTATTTCTCGACTTGCCCTCGGCAGTCTGGACCAGCGCAACCTTATCGACCGCGATACTGAAATCACCCATGTCTTCCCATCGGATTTCTTGCAGCAGTTCCTGATGATCGATAATATATAGGCTCCGGTTTTGTGTCGTCAAGGGAGAGCTCATCGTAGCAGTAGAGTGGCCCATCTTCATAATTGCGACTTTGTTCTGGTCAAAGTCGGTATGGCTTAACGGAGGGTTGGCAAATCATGTTTACATATATGGGAATTGAATACTCACTCCAGAGCGGCCTGACTGATTGCTGCTGCTACGACGATGAAAATGATAGCTGTGATCTGGAAAGCCACCCAGAACGTGACCATAACTGCTGGCATGAGAAGGTTTCTGCACATACCTTCAAGTTTATTCTTTTAAATAATCAGTTAAATAAAGACAAAAGACTTCCCAACGGAAACTGCAGGAGATCAGGTTGATATAACTAACGAGCATATAAAAAACAAAATACAGTCAACGCATTTGAGATAATCACGGATATTGTTTCTCGAAGGTAGGCCAAGGAAGCCAGTACCCCCTTGTTTATATGCATGCAATATCGACAATAATTAAGGTTTGTATTCCGTTGTTTTTACTTTTTAAGCTCTTCCATTGTGTGCCTCTGAATGTTCTGAACAGTACATACGCACATCGAACAAAGCCGATCCAGCTCTAGCCCTGTTGGCTGAGCGGTTGGTTTTGGTTGGTCAGTATTCGATTCCAGAAGAGACCATATAATTAAACCCGATGTTGTCAGGAGTCCATGGATGTAGAAGAACAGGGCCTGCATACTTTTGGGCTGGCTGAAATTGCTGAGGCTTGGTAATCTTCAAACAGAGTGAACAAAGCATGAAAACGGAAATTCAGACGATGAAGCAGTTCTAGATAAGGAAATACGACTGTGAACTTGGCAACAAACGCAAACGCAAACGCAAGAAAGAAAAGAGAAGAAAAGAAAAGAAAAGAAATATGAGGGAAAAGAAGATCGTTTGATGGGTATACTCCGTACAGAACGCACAAATTACCACTCCCGAATACCTCCGTCAACTCCATAAAACTCCTTCGGAGTCCAGGAGTCCGCTGTCATCGCAACACTCCGCACTTCATCCTCATCGATATCGATTCCCAAGCCCGGCTTTGTCAGCGCACCCACATAGCCGTCCTTGACATCAAAAACTGAAGGATCCGTCACGTAGTTGGTTATATCATACGCGCCCGCCTTCGTGTTATAGTGGGTACCAAGGCTCATTTCTTGGATTACAAAATTTGGAATCGTGAGGTCGACTTGAATACTAGCAGCCAGCGAAATAGGCCCCAGGGGACAGTGCGGGGCAATCGCCACATCGTATGCTTCTGCCATTGCGGCGACGCGCCGGATTTCAGAAATACCTCCGCAATGGCTGATATCTGGCTGCAAGACATCAACGCTTGCATTCTCCAAGAAGCGCTTGACATCCCACCGGTTGTACAGCCGCTCGCCCAGCGCAATCGGTGTCGTGACTTGGCTAGAAAAGTGTTTTATTCCCTCAGGATGCTCCGAGAGGAGGGGTTCCTCGATGAATAGGGGCTGGTAAGGCTCCACTAGCTTAGCAAGCTGTTTGGCCATTGGTTTATGGAGACGACCATGGAAGTCAAGGGCGACATCAAGCCCTGGAGCTTTTGCGGCTTTGAGGCGCTCGACGCTGGACTCCAGGACTCGGGGAGAATCAAGCCAGTTCACATCCTCTGTGGCATTCATTTTTATGACTCTGAACCCTTGATCCAGCCGCGCTTTGCCAGCTGACTCAACATCTGCAGGGCGGTCACCTCCAATCCAAGCATAGACAGAGATCTTGTTGCGAACCTTGCATCCCAACAGTTGATGGATGGGTGCACCTAACCGGCGGCCCTTGAGATCCCAAAGCGCAATGTCAATACCGGAAATAGCTGACATGAAAACAGCACCGCCCCTGTAGAAACCAAGTCGCCAAGCTATTTTACCATATTTGCTCGATATCACTGTGCCAGTAGGGTTAGCTATTGAAGCTCTTGATAATTTCATTTTACATGGATTACCTTTTGACTTACTCGGCTTCATAGCCTTGAAATCGTTGACATAACGCATTCAATGCGCCTTCAACAGCTTCTGAATGACCCTCCAGAGCGCTTTCACCCCATCCATGATTTCCATCTTCATCAGTAACTTTCACGAACAGCCAGCGAGGGAGTACAAGGAAACATTCAATGCTTTTAATTTTGTCCATGCTTCCTTATTTGTACTTCCCTTTCCAGGGACTGGAGAGGGATGTTGAATGTCAGAACGGGGAAGTCCTCGTTATGCAAGCCACATAAATGTATGGGTTGGAGAAGAGCCCATGGATGGATAATCTGATAAACGATAGAATGGCAGAAAGACAGAAGGTTATATATATATCAGGGAAGCATATATGAGACCAGCAATGAGATAACTTGTCACGGAACATCCCTTTGTAGATCGACCGTACCGGACTCCACTTGGCAGGGATTAGCACCGAAGAACGATGCAAGGCGGGCTGTGGGTATCCAGTGATACATGCATAGAGCTATAGATGAGGGTTGCATTGCCCGCGAGGCCAATGGCGATAGTATGTGAGGTGTGGTTTCGAACTGCCTCCCGCACTACTACTCCGTGCAAATAAATAATATATTTCTGATATCTTCCCGGAACAGATGCATTTGCCTTTGGTAAGTGTAGACAAAGGCCAACCAGGTAATCAACCCGGAAACGGAATTGGAATTGGGGTGCCTTTTATGCCTGGGGACGGAAGAGACAAACACCCGCATCACTTTCCATACGACTGCTTTCACCCTCGAGTTTGCGTGGCCAGTCGACTAAAACCTTGGGATGTATGATGTCCCATCTCTTGCTACACAGGGCCAGCAGCATTTAGTGGAAATATGAGATCAGGGAGTCAAACTCATATGGCGGGGGGGATGACAACGAATTTGCATCCCGAAGTATTTAGCTGTAGCCCTTTCAAGCCCATGCATATCGGGAAAGTTACAGATAATTGTGTCTCCCCCCAGAAGACTAGTTTACTGCATAAAATCCATTCCGAGGGAGCAAAGCTAGACAGATCATCATCCGGAAAATATCGCCGTGTAGCGAAGAGAAGTGAAATAACAATTTTGACTCTTAGCACCGCTTAGGGCACATGGTGGCTGAAAAATGCCAAAATCCCTTTGCGCCTTGATCATAGAGGGAATTATGAAGATTGTGAGATAGATAAAAGCGTGCAGTTAATATTGTCAAGTAAGTACTCCATTTTGAGGACTGATCTTTTGGTGCGGTGGAAAACCGCTGTTTTGATATACAAGTAACCACAGTACATGTAGTTACAGTACAATTCACGGAGATCAAAAGATGCCCACTTTGCCAGACTCGGATATTTAAGGCAGCGAGGCGCTTGCACGGCAAGTACTCGGAGCTATATCATGCTGCAGAAACGCGAGGGCTTGGATGACGACGCTGGCTTGTTACACCATCACGTTCTTTAGCGAGGCCATCGGATAGGATATATTTTGAAAGAAAGCATGTTGGAAGCAGGTTGCTAGTGATGCGCGGGAGCAGGGCAGCCGAATACGACTGTCACCGCTGGCGGCCGTTTAGAAGCGGAGACGGGTTCAATGAATTCAATCGGCATCGAGCCGTTCTTCATCTCCCATCGTCAATCTGCACTGAAAACTTTATGAGGTTTGGTCTCTCGTAGAGTTGATGTGGTGAAGTGAACGTTGAATCGGGCCTCTCATTCGACTTAAACTTACCTATTTACCAGACAACGAGCGCTTGCGTATGGCATTTACGAACCAATGTTTGTTTATTCATGTTTATGATCTTCCATTCTCTCTCTTTTCTCTCATAATTTCAGGGAAAATTTTGCACTCCTTCCGGGCGCCTTTCTATCAGTGGGTGGCATACCGAAATTGCTACCAGGCCACTCAATACCATTTTGAGAGGCGAGACCGAACGACCTCAGTTCAAGGCCATAAAATATGCTGCATATGGATCGCTTGTAATTGTGTAGCTCCAATCCCTTATCTCCCTAAGAGAAATAGAATATATATAGTCTACTTCGCTTGAAATAAATTTTTGATAATCTCTCTCGTGAAAACCGACTCTATATTTCTTGATATTTCATCTATGTACGGGTCTGTTTCGCGAATATAAATTTGCCAAATAAATCTATAGAAAAAAGAATGTAAAAGCACCATGATCATGGGAATGTAAAGGAGGATTCCAATGCCGTAAAATTTCCACCAAACCTGCAAAATAAATATACACAAAAACCTTGTACCAATCGACCCAGCCTAGTTTCGATTGCTGACCCGCAAAGCATTCCAATCATCTGCCCGCCTCAAACACCCCAACACGATATTCCAAAATGCATCGACGTCGACTCCACGGGGTATAGTCACACCGGCCTTTCCGCGTTCTACGGGACTTGCATTTGTCCGACCAACCTCACCGGTAATCTTTAGATCTGAGCCATGCTGGCCATCCGTCACAACATTCACGAGGAAGCGCTCTCCATCCCGGTCGTCGAAATGGAGATCCCTTGCATGGTTGCTCCCATTATCGCTAGTGTTCAAGTTGGACAATAACACAGCAACGGCAACGGGATCGTGCAAGGGGGGACCAACATCGAGACCAAACACCGTTTCATAAGTGCCCGCAAAGTAAATTAGGAGAGAGTGGAGGATTTGGCGGAGGACTGAGGGAGTCGGGCTCACGTTGCTCCTACCCATTACTGGTTGGAGTTCAGTCTGCAGAATGAGGGACTGCACCTTTGGTGTACATAGCACCTGGTGTGTAAGATCTAGAGGTATTAAAACTGTTTTCGGTGCAAGGGCCGGGGACGAAAAAATGGATTGTGCAGATTCGGGATCACACTAATTTTTCCCTTATCAGTTATCAGCAAAATAAGTGAACCGGCCCTCAATATTGACTAACGTAGATATTAAACTCTGCCCAAGGTGTGATGTTTCCAACACGCGACTCATCTCCTGCCCGCTTGCAAATAGGGGCATGCGAAAACCCGTCACCTATGGCACCACCCATAATGCTGAGACCTCGAACGTGTTCAGCAACTTCAGGAAACGTTGCGAAAAGAAGCCCGACATTAGTGAGAGTTCCTGTGACAACTAGCCAGGCTGTGTTTTTCGGCTGTTCCAGCAGAGAATCTCGCATAGCGATGATTGCATTTCGGTTCCTCATTGGTGGACGTGTTGGCGTGGGGAGTAAATCTGTCCCATCAAGTCCAGATACGCCTAATAATCTGTCAGCCACTTGTTGTCCATGAAGTATAGGTAGAGCATGGTATGTATTTTGCCTACCGTGAATATCTTGTGCATGTACAGCTGCCCTACAGAATGGCTTTGCCGCCCCTGGATATACAGGAATATCTGATCTGCCAATGGCTTCCAGGATGCTTCCGGCGTTTACTGTTGTATTTTGAAGCGAGCCGTTTCCATGGACGGTACTGATCCCTAGCAGCTTTAAGGAAGGGTGGTGGGCAGCTAAGAGAATGGCAAACGCATCCTTTTCACGTCTATTAGATTCACAATTGTTTCCTAATACATTGTCGAAAAGTTTGATCAAATGATGTTCGAACTTACATCATGGCCTGGGGCATCACATCAGCATGAGTAGCACATTTCCTTGATTGGTGGGTATTAAAATATGATAAGACTCACCTGGATCACAATCCAACCAAAGAGGAGTCACCTGTCCTTCGTGCGACGGGAACTCGGGTGTCTGATCCAGCATGATGGTGAAGTTGAGTGCCAAAATATGATGCTGAACCTTGAACCTTTAGCTATCCTCAGACTCTTATCGATAAGAGCCGGGTGAGGAGAAAACAACTAGCACTAGTTAGGACTAGTTCATAACACTAACCCCGGCCTTATGCTCGGGCCGTTGTTCACTCACAGAGCCGCATGATTTATTTATACAAGTCAGACAGCGAACAACTGGCAGAGGGACGGACGAGACAACGACCACTTCTACCGTAATGTTGGATTCCCTCTAAGCCTGCGAGATTACGATTAAATCCTGACCACGTACTGATTTTGGAGACCCTCGTTCTGGATATCGACAGACAATCAATCAATGATTTCAAGTCAAGCTTACTGGGGTGTTATCAGAGCATCCAACTTTGGGAGATGAGCACTGGCAATAACGGGGGACGACCACGCCCTCCTCAAGCCGTTGCCTCCAAGTCTGGGCCTATAACTTCCTCAGCTAAACAGCCAACGCTCGCGGTTCCATCCTCTAAACCCCCCTCGACTCCTCGATCACCTTCGCAAACTCTCCAAGCAGGCAAGCCCAGTGCGCCATCCAGCCAAACCGATCCAGCCAACGATAAAGCTACGGCGGCGCTGATCCGCCGTGTCCTCTGTCCTCAGTCCTCTAACTATGGGCCAGACCAGCGGGAGCGGGGTACCCCTCAACCGCTGGAAGAGTTGCTTCCTCCCCTTACGAGCTCGAACGAGGTAGATCTACAGCTGTATGCTCTAATTGCGATCATAATTAAAGAGTTCGTTTACGCCTGGTACTCAACGATTACCCCAGATCACACTTTTAGCGATGAAATTATCCAAATTATCGCCCATTGCACTCGTGCGCTCGAGCAGAGGCTCCGGCAGGTAGATGTGGATGCTTTGGTCTTGGATGAAATCCCCGCCTTGGTTGAAGCACATATTGTTGGTGAGAGTCCAGTTAAGCAAGCCGTGTGATATTGTTCCTCCAAGCCGGTTCGGCTGACAACGGAACATAGCGTACCGTACCGCCTACCAAAATCCACACTTGAACCGCTCCGCTTCTTATCTCCACACGGTTTACCATACTTTGAACCCACATCCGGCGCTCTACCCTGTCCCGGACGCCTCCGATACGACGGCGATCGCAGAGCAACAAAAGCGAGAGACAGCATACCGCCAATTACTTGCCCAAGGCGTTTTGGCTGTGCTTCTCCCAACCGAAGATTTGGAGAATGTCTACCTGAGGACATTGGTTGGCGATATTTTGGCGGATACGATCCTGGGCGAGTTCGTCAGCGACAAAATGAGCGATGGCCCATTTATCTATGAGCTCCTCACACGGCTCATCATGGTAATACAGCAAGACGGCCGTAAAAATGAAAAAGCGGAGCATATTCAAAAAGGCCGACTGGAGAGGTTTGGCCTTCTTGGTCCCAAAGGAGACTCTGGTTGCGGCGATTCGTCCGGTGCAAACCAATCAAATTTATCAATGTTTCTGTGGAGAATACTACAATATTGCTATCTGACATTTGTGACTATTCGATTTGTATTGGTTGGACTTTTTCAAGTGGCATCATCGTCGCTTCCCGTGTCTCAAGGGAGACCGCCACCTGCCTGCTCACAATCGACTCCCGTCAATCTTGCAGGCGAACCTCAAGCATGGCCTACCGGTAGTAGCCTCCGTCGACCCGTTCTCAAATATAGAATATTCGGCATGGTTTCGCAACTAATCGATGTGTCTGGCCGAATGCCATGGCTCGGTGGGACCTTTGCTCTCGCACAGTATGTGATGGTCGAGGGACCAGGGAAGCTTGGGGATACGGGGATGATAGTTGACAGGTAAGCACAACATATCATTTTGCGTTTTGTTATCCTTCACGCAGTTCATGAGTCGCATCGGCTGTTTTCTCCCTTTCAAGAATGAATGGGGCCTTCCCTTCTTGTGTCATTGCCTACATTCTATGCTATCCAGCACGCGTATCATGATGCCCCGACGGGTAGGCATCATTCAAATTGTTCGTCACCTGGGCTGGGGTCCCTGGCTTTTTCAAGAAAGGATCATGCGGTGTTGCAGTTGCATCTGCTAAATATCCTGGGCAGCAGCTCCAGAGAGGGATTCAGAAGGATTGTTGGTGATTTGCATGCATGGCCCTTCGGTCACTTGATCTGAAGGTGGTTGGCACTCGCCCAATGAGCATGTTATTCTGGTCCAAGACAAAAGTTGGTATCAGTTTGGCCTTCATCCACCCAAGGTTGCCGTGCCTAGGAAACCCTGTCATCCTCGCCCGTTACCCGTTGTTGTATGTACTGAGGTATTTTACTTTGGTCGTCTTTTTCATCTTTTTTTCATCTCATCCTTACTTACCGTTACATGACATGGTTTTACCGTTTTTCTTACTCTACCATGTTTGGTCTTCGTTTTCTTTCATTTCTTCCTAGCGGCAAATTTTCCACCTGTTTTGGCCTTTCCTTTCTAGCAAAAGCGGTATTTTACCTCGCTCCTCTGCTAGTGGCTGTGCAGCAACTTTCTTGTCCAACCACTGCCAGCGAAAAGCAAACAGGACAGGATCAGCAGGACAGACCAGAATAAGCCGGTCGTTTTAACCGCCTTCGCCGTTGGTCCATGGGCTTCTGTTATTGGGTTGCTCTTGGCCTCCTTCATCGGGACCGGCCCTTCCCTCCCGTCCGCTCAAGAAAATGCGCCCATTTTCATCCCTGTGAGAGCTGCCATTGGTCCATCGTTTTCCTCCTCGCTTCCGGAACTGGCCAACCAACGTCTGCAAAAATACGGCAGCTTAACATGGGGCGGATCATGGTGAGATCCACTCTGATCGTCCCCCACATGATCCTCTCTTGCTCTATCTGCAAGGCAAAATTCCAGTCCAGAATAAAATCAACTATCTCTGGGGTGTCTCTCATCCGTCTCGGCTAGCCAATGGCCAGTTAGTTCAAAGTTTTCGGGCAATTAGCATTTTTTGAATCAGGCTAGATTAGCGATATCGGGGGTTGCTCTCCTCGCCCAGGGGTTTTGGCGATGGCGCAAGAAACCGTATTTTCCTCTTTCTCTCACCCAACCCTCAAGCGCCGATGACGTCGCTGTTTCTATCAAGGAAAGGGCTCGGGATGATATTGGCAATCTTATCATTCATTCCTCTCCTCGGATTGACCATTGATCTCATCATCTCCAATCGGTCACGATTGATCT